CCTGGGGCAAGAAAGAGCGGCGGGAGAGGGCGAGGAGCATTGCGGTAGGGGAAGAGGCGGTAAAAGGGGACTGACTCGTCAAAGGTGACGTCCTGGGACGCAAAGACACGGCGCGAGGCGGGGTCGTAGAACTGCCAGCCAGGCGCGTCAGGGACGAAGCCAAGGAAGACGCAAGGAATGGCACGAGGGGAGAGCTTGTCCGCGGTGGTATCGCGGACAAAGGCACGAGCACCCCAGACCCGGAAACGCGACGCGTCGCCAACCTTCCCCGTCCACAGCAGTGTGGGCGAGGTCTCCGGCAAGGAGACACGGGGCCAAAGGTTGAGCTGATGCGCGACGTACCGGACCGCAAACGGCCACAGAAAATGGGGGGCAGCCGCATGGATCATGGAGGTACGAGCGACCTCCATGACTAAGCCAATGCGGCGCTCAGCAACCCCATTCTGCTGCGGAGAGGCCGGAAGCGTGAAAGTCTGGCGGATGCTGTGCTCCGCACAGAAGGCGGCCAAGAGGTCTGAGGAGAACTCACCACCTCTGTCAGAGTGCAGACGCAGGACAGGAAAGTCCGACTGGAACCGCTCGCGGAGCTGGAGACGAGTAGCGCGGATCCAGGGGATCAAAACACCAGGGACATCCCCCTTGCGCTGCAAGGGGAAGACCGTGGTGTAGCGCGTGTAGTCGTCGACAACCAGCAGGAAGTACCGCTCGTGGCCCTGTCCACGGACGCGGGCTGGGCCCCACACGTCCAGGTGGAGAGTCTGCAGTGGAGCCTCTGTGGGAGGGAACGAGGAGGAGTGAGGAGCGGCGCGCTGCCGCCCCTCGACGCAAGGAATGCAGGGCGGCGCAGGCGAGGGAGGGAGGGCAGGCAGAGACCTGGGAAGACCAGAGACCAGAAAGCGAGAGTGCATGCTACGAAGGCGAGGCAGGGAGGGGTGGCCCAGGCGGTGGTGCCACAGGAGAGTGTCGTGAGACAGCCGGCGACACTCACACTGGGTAGCTACCTGAGCAGACGCGTGCAGCTGGGGAGACAAAGTGGTGGAACGCGACGCAGTGGTGAGGGTGTACAGACTGGACCCTGGCGCACGGGTGAACGTGGCCAGGTGGCGGCCGGTCTGGGAGCACGTACAGATCGCCACACGCTGTCGGCCAGGGGTGAAGGTGTCAACACCCGCATCCTGGAGGACAGCGTTGCTCACTAAGTTCGTAGAGAACGAGGGGAGGTGGAGACCAGACAGCTCACCAGACGGGACCGCCGGACACGGAAGCACAGTGGAAGACCGTGCAAGCACTGGGCCCCCAGAGGGGTCAGCCAGTGAGACAGGAACAGGTGCAGGAAGGGGGGTGACTGTGGTACTGTCGCGAAAGAAACAGCGGGAAGCACCAGAGTCAAGTGTAAAAGTGTGCAAGGCCTGTGCAGGCGCAGTACCAAGGGGAGCAGACTCACAAGCACCTAGTGCTGCAGGGGCTATACCAGGGGCTATACCAGGATCCGGCGGCACACACAAGTAGCAGTCACCCTCAACACTAACAGACAATGCATACATAGCAGCTAGAATAGCCTCATAGTCAAGATCAAAGATTGGTACATCACGCCTAAGCAAGTCTGCCCAGTTGGGGAACTCAGTAGCATCAGGAAACTTGGCGCGCCAGGCGTCGCTAAGTCGAGCGAAGCAGCGCTGCTCAGTGTGAAACCCTGTGCACTGGCGGTTAGCGCGGGGACCTGTGCGGATGATATAGGGGCAGCGACCAGGACCCCCAGAAGCCCCACGCCCGGCATACCAGTCAAGAAGCTGCTGGGAAGTGGGGGCCTGGCGCTGACGCTGCTGCTGCTGCTGCTGCTGCTGCTGCTGCGGCTGCTGCTGCTGGCCCTGACCACCACTGGCACCACCGCTCCCTCCTCCCCCACCGCCGCTGCCGCCCCCTCCACCGCCCCCAGTGCCTCCGCCGCCCCCACCACCACCTCCACCCCCTCCACCCCCGCGACCACCCCCACCACCTCCACCGCCCCCGCCGCCTGCACCACCGCCGCCTCCACCGCCGCCCCCACCGCCCCTGCCACCCCTGCCGCCCCTGCCGCTGCGACGCTTCCCACTAGGAGCGGAAGCAGCCCCGACCTCCTCAGCACCAAGGTAGTCGTGAGCAGCAGCTGCGGAGGCGTAGGAGGGGGTGAGAGGGGAGGGGGAGCACCCCTCAAAGAGGGGAGAGCGCGGAGTGCCACGAGCAGCACCTACAGCGAGGATGTTCTTCTCTGCTGCTAGGAGGTGCTTCTCGAAGTCGTCGACAGTGAGAGTGGGGGGGTCTAGCGCTAGGAAGTGGTCCCTGACCGAGCTAAGAGTGTCAGGGAGGCGGGTGACGGGGGGGGTTTGCGGCGCAAAACTCGGCTGAAAGGGCGGCACGAAAGCGAGTGTCAGTAGCGCGCAGGTGGGAAATGAGGTCCTCAGCAGTGGTGAACGAGGAAAGGTCGGGGAACAGGTAGGGTAGCATGAGTCGACCTATGGCTGCAGTGGCCGGGGAGGAGTAGCGCGCAACTACAGCGTCGTACAGTGTCTTAGCAGTTTTGTGCTGGCTGAAATGCGCGCGCTCAGTGATCGGCAGATGGTTCCTAATCGCTAGGCGTGCAGCAGCATCGCGAGTCTGCCACTGCGAGCGTTCGAGAGCAGGAGCATCAGCAGCAGGAGCAACGGCAGTGCCAGACACGTAATCGAACAGTGAAACACCCTCTTTGGCATCAGTCAGAAGGAACAGTTGCAGGTCATCTAGCCACACAGTGAACTCTATGGGGCGACCGTCAGGTTCGAACGCGAGAACATTAGGCGTCGTCATAACAGCAGTAGGCAAAGGCAGCAGAAAGCAGGCAGGCAGTAGACACGAGGCAGTAGGCAGTAGGCAGCAGGCTAAAACTTAGGCAGTAGGCAGTAGGCAGTACAGGCAACGTGCAGGGCAGTACTTGCTGCACCCGAGCTCCGAAGGTGGGGCTCTAGACTGTGAAAGGCCGTACAGTGTGAAGGCAGTGGGTTCGGCAGCAAGGAGCCTTACAGGCAAGCACACAGGTAGGGCGCGCGCGGCTGCTGGCTGCGTAACCCTAAGGGCCGCACGTGGCTCTCTGCTGCGCGTGGCTACGTGCTGCGCGCGGCTCTGGCTGCACGTGGCGACGGGCGGCGGGCTCTACGTCGCGCGTGGGCGGCGGGCTCTACGTCGCGCGTGGGCGGCGGGCTCTGCTTAGGCTGCGCGCGGGCGGCGTAAGGGGGGGCGCGCGGGCTCGACGTGGGCTACGCGGGCGACGCCGACCGGCGCGCGGCTCTACAGCAGGGTCGCGCGCTAAAAAATAAGCGACGCGCGCGCTAGAAACTGAGGCGCGCGCGAGAAAAATTAAGTGACGCGCGCTGCCGCCGAGGCGCGCGCGGTCAGGAGATAAGGCTAACAGGCAGGCAGGCCGTTGGTAACACGGTAACGGGTGGGCCCTTAATCTCTTAGGTCCTAAGAACCTGCTCTAGATGCCATGTTAAGATACCTAGGCAAAAGGTAATTGAATTAGGTCAAGGTGGGTACAAGACTAGGGTGTCGAGGAACTTTGTGTACCCCCTAGTGCTAACCCCCATACAGCCTAGCTAACCTAAACAGGTATATATACATAATTTGACAATGAAATCTGCAGCTTTAGAGCGGTTCAAGAGGCTATGGGATGAGGTTCCGTTCTGACAGTGAGGTGAGGATGTGGGGTGGGGTTGTTTGTTTTGCTCTCTCCACTACCATGTCCACCAAAATCAGCCTGTACTCTAATGTGACAACCGCCTGATACGGTACTAATTTATATTGTATAAACATAAGTTATTCCGTTACTACCTTCTTGTGCCATCGATGAACTACGAGATTGAAATGCAGCACTTGCATTCTGCTGTGATGAGGACGATGCTGTGATGCCGGTGATGCCTTGATGACTCAAGCCACCTATGGTAGGTGGGTAGGTGGATACCGTAATCCCCCGTATATACGACCCGCCGGAAAGAGGGTCCCATGTGACTCTTATGCGGAAGAGGGTCTTTTATTTCGAGTTAAAACTGATAGGACCCCCCCCAGTTTGACGTTGATATTTATAAGACCCCTTTTCTGTATACAGTCACTATAGATTCAGGAGCGCGTAATCTTTTACAGGGTAGAGGTTGAATTCTGACGCGGTCCACCACGTCAGAATCTCGATCTGAGCGCGACTCGCGCGAATACTGCGCGATCGGGAGATTTTGTTCGAATATAAGACCCTAAATTTCATATTGTTTCGTGATAAAAATATGTGTACGGGTCTTAGGGGTTCAAAATCCTTAGGAACTAGAAAAGTTGCCTCAAAACTGTGAGGCACACTCACAAACCCTAAACCCCGCTGACAAATGTATACTGCCTCTTTAAAAAACACATGCCGTTACAATGTTCACCCTGACGATTTTGCATGAATTTGAAGAAAGTCCCCCCGGGTCCTTTATACGGGGTACTACGGTACCACACGGATCTTATCGCGCCAAAAGTCACAGCCAGTAGACACAAAAACATACATGCATCCCGTTTCTATCTCAACAACCAGTTTGGGCGACAATTTACCTTCACTGGTATTCCCCAATACAACCCTGCTCTGAAATTGATGTTTTTCACCTTCAAGGCTGCTGTTCCTTGTATCCTCCCTCCCCTCCCCTCCCCTCCCCTCCCCTCCCCTCCCCTCCCCTCCCCTTCCCTCCCTTCCTCCCCTCCCCTGCACACTCCCACCTTGCACCCTGAAGCTAGAGGCATTACACGTAGGCGGGGCTTTAGGGTTTAGTGGAATCCTGTTGTCCACGTGTCCATTCAACCTCGTTCCACTTTTAAGGCGCCTCTCCTTCCCCAACCCTATGAGCTCGGCACCTGGCAGTTAGCAAGCTTCCATCGCGCCATATCCCCGCTCGGCTCCTTTCACCTACCTCAGCCACAGCTGTTCCCCACTCATCCCAGCTAGCTCCCCCCTTGCTTCCCCAACCCTACGAGCTGGGCGCCTTGCAGTTAGCGAGCTTCCATCGCGCCATATCCCCGCTCGGCTTCCTTCTGAAATCAGCTGCAATGCCGTTCCCATCGATATCCACCAGTCCAGGAGTCACATACTTGCCCACCGTCACCACCATCCCCGACCCGTCATTCAACTCATACACACTCTGAATCAGCCCCTTTCCGAAGGTTCTCGAGCCGACCAAAACCGCTCGGCAGTTGTCATGCAACGCACCGGCGACAATCTCGCTGGCACTGGCCGTTCGGCCGTTCACCAGGACCGTTAGAGGGGCACGGGTGAGCGGTTTCCCCGTGGCTTCGATGCTTCTTTTCTGGGGTAAATCACCCGGGCGGGCCTCGGTGTAGACCACGGTTTGCCCTCGCTCGAGGAAGAGTTTCGCGATTTCTACCCCCGATTGCACGAGCCCGCCCGGGTTGTCCTGTAGGTCGAGGACAAAAGATGTCGCCCCGGCTGCTTCTAGCCGTTGGATTGCGGTTACCACGTCACGTTTTGCCGCCGCATTAAATTCCTTGAGCCGAATGTAACCAACAGGGCCAGTTGGGGCAGAGGAGGAAAACACCGAAGAGAACATGGAAGAGGAGGAGGAAGCGGAGGGAGAGGGGGAGGAGGAGGAGGAAGCAGCAGAGGAGAAGTCCTGAAATAACCCCAGAGGAGAGATGGGGTCGTTTCGGTCGAGGCGGTAAAGCACGGGCGACTGCACTTCGCTAGTGCGTGACATAGTGAGGGACTCTATAGGGGAGCACGAGTCGTGGCGAATGGCAACGGTTACCGGGGTGCCCTTGGGGCCCTGAATGAGCGAAGATACGTCGAATGCGGACATGCCCTGCACGCTCGTGCCATCCACTGAAACGAGCTCATCCCCTTGCCGCACGCCTGGATGGTATGGATGGTATGGTGGGGTGGGGTGAGGGGAGGGAGGGGAATAACTGGGATGAGGGATGGATGGAATGGGAGGGGTGAAGATACGTCGAATGCGGACATGCCTTGCACACTCGTGCTGTCCACTGAAACGAGCTCGTCACCTTGCCGCACACCTGGATAAGCGGTGAGAAGGCAGAAGGGAGGGGGGGAAAGGCGGGGGAGGAGGGGGGAACGGGGATTGAGGGGTGGAGGGGATGGAAAGGGATAGGCCGATTTATGTCGAATGCTCACGTGCGGTTGAGAAGGGTGGTGAGGGTTGTGTTGGGATACGTGTGAGGAAGTTTGGGGAATTCCTTCAGGTGTGCGGACTGGTTTTAATGATGCTGTTTTCAGCCTCCTTAACGCGCTCGTGAAGGATGTGGGAAGTGGTTGTGAGACATTGAAAGGACAAAAACGTCTCTTTCAAAATCAGGAAGGCATGTGCTGGTAAGGGGTGCGGAGGAGTGATGGGGTGGCGGGTGGGCAGAGGTGTCGGGGAATGGTTGGGGAAGAGGGGGGATGGACACGGGGAAAGGTGAGGGAAGGGATGGGGAATGGGTCGTGGGAAGGTAGGGGGGAAAGCAGGGGACTCTAAGACATGAAAAGAAGGGTCTTACAGGTTAAATGGAGCTCACCTGCTAGCTGTGCTGGCGAGCCGAGCACGATCCCCACCACTTTCAGCTTCACACGCCCGTCCTCCACATCCTCGCCAATGTTCAGCCCGATTCCAGTAACGTCGTACTTAGCTAATGCCGCGAATTGCTTAGGCGAGACGAACCGGGAATACGGGTCGTTTAAGCTGGCAAGCATGCTGCTAATCATAGCGTAAGCCTCCCCCCTGCTTTTGGGGGGTTTCCGGAGAATAGCCTCTTTTTTCGCTGCCCAGGCCTCGGGCGTCCACCCCTTGTTCCGGGCATCGAAAAATGTTTCGTTGACCACTTCCCAGGCCTCCAGGACCACTGATTGGTCCGTGATTTCGGCTTCAGGAGCAAAACGTTCGCCTGAGAGATTGGTGGAGGAGGGGGGAGGGCAGAAGAGAGAGGAAGAGGAGGAAGAGGCAGTGCTGCTGGTACTGTTACTGCTGCTGCTGCTGCTGCTGTCAGTGCTGCTGCTGATGGCGCTACCAGTGCTGTCAGTGCTGATGGTGCTGCTGCTAGTGGTGGAGGTGGTAGTGGTGGTAGAAGGTTCGCTGAAGGTCGAAGTCGACTCCAACGGAGGGGCAGGCAACAATGCCACCTGCAAAATTCCCTCTCTATTTATATCAGGTATCTGAGCAGGGACGTTTGCGGCAAGGTTATCTGAGCTCGCAAGTGCGAGTATCCGGTGATCTTTCAGACGATAATCTGCTGTTGGAGTCGGATTGGCGTATATCGGGGACAGGTCACTGAAAGGGGAGGCTAAGGCGGGAAGAGAGGAGGTGAGAAGTGCGAGAAGCATGCAGGACACGGAGAGCGAGGGCCACAGGCGGAGAGAAGCCGTATCCGCGTTATTGAGTGCTTCGAGAGAAGCGCGTAAAGAGGCCCACAGGCGTGATGACAAAGATTCGACGCTGGATTGAAAGGCATCAGGATGCGATTGAAACGGTGTCTGAGGCTCCAACGGTAGATTCTTCCTGGCGGTTGAGCCCTCGTTTCTGTCACTTGCGGAACCTCCACGTGTCAATTCCGCAATGAGCTTAAGCGAACGAGCTGTTAAAAACGTCGATCGTGAGGAGTCCGGAACATGCGGTAAATCGGGACCGTCCGATTGGAGTCGGTGATGATTATGACACGTGGCTGAGCATTGCCGACGTAAGACTCTGGGAACCGCGACTACGGCACGTCTAGCGATATTTCTCGATGTGCCTGCATCGAATGTGACAACGCCGGGTGGCAGGGTGTTGCGAGAAAAAAGCTTCGACGTCATCTAAAATCTCCGACCAGGAAAATCTGAGAGGGCACCAAAGCAAAGTGAGGCTTTCAAATGGATTCCAGGAATATTCCCAAGCAAGTGAGGTCCAGAGGATTCCGAAAAGATTATACTGGTGCCGTAACTCGGCGAACGACTTCACGTATCCAAATTTGACACGTAATCTGAGACGTATCAATACAAGCCTAGGAAACTGGCTCCGCGCTGCGTTAGGTGTCAAGGCGTCTCAATGCAGCGTGTAGGCGAGCTTGGATACTGCCTGCTGTCAGTAGCTCAAGCGGACTACTCGAACAAGCAAGCTGAGAAAGCAGTCAGTTTGGTTAGGAACAAGTACGATCATCTCTAGGCGGTTTGATCAGGAACCATTACGTTCCGATGGTTCTAGGAGATGACTTAGTTGGTCGATAATTGGATAAGGGTGTGGCTGGGAGATACTTTAGTGCGGTTCAGTGGGTTCCTCTATGTTTTGAGACGGTCATATAAGATCATAATTTGGTTAGGTATGGTATTTAGGAAAATCCACCTTCGCAACGGACACGCCTGTTGGCTTGGTTGTCATGGCAGCCGCAATCTTTCCGAATTTTGGTGGTTGAGGCGTTTGCGGCAGTCTCAAGGTCAGCACTGCATCCACGTGGCACGCCTACTTGCCCACACAAATCTTCGAATAGGGCTGACACGACACCAAAGCTTCGATATGAGGATTGATCCAGCTGGTTCAGATCACAAAAGAGTCTTGGACATTTCAAGTAATGAACTATTGTAAGATGATGGCATGGCAAGATTTCAAAGCTGACCATTATACAAATTATGCAAGGCACTCTCCAGCACTAACTGGCCATTGGAATGCTTGCACCTCATCATAAAGATGTCAACACAGCAGGGGAGGACTCTCTGTCTGTACACGAGCTACATGCCTGTACAACTGTACACTCAGCGTACGGTATATGCAAAAGACTTCTCTAATAGTAAACCGCCATTGGAATGTTTGTACGTATATCATGATACAGATGTCAACATACCAAGATCTTCGCGCAGATGTCACAGCAGGTGTCATGGCCGATGTCAAAACAGATGTCACCACACAAACCTATATCACGGCAAACGTGACAGATGTCACAGCAGTGAGAGCTTGGCGAGTGTGAGGGCGAGCACACGCACACCGTTAGCGAGGTTGGCCTTGGATGTGAACTCATCCGGGCGGTGACTCACACCTGAGGGGAGCGGGGAGTCAATAACGGATTAGGAAGGTGTGAGGGCTTGGCAAGGGTTGCACGCACACAGTTGGCCAGGTTGGCCTTTGACATGAACTCATCCGGGCGGTGGCTCACTCCTGAGGGGAGCAGGGAGTCAATAACGGATTAGGAAGGTGTGAGGGCTTGGCAAGGGTTGCACGCACACAGTTGGCCAGGTTGGCCTTTGACATGAACTCATCCGGGCGGTGGCTCACTCCTGAGGGGAGCAGGGAGTCAATAACGGATTAGGAAGGTGTGAGGGCTTGGCAAGGGTTGCACGCACACAGTTGGCCAGGTTGGCCTTTGACATGAACTCATCCGGGCGGTGGCTCACTCCTGAGGGGAGCAGGGAGTCAAAAACGGATTAGGAAGGTGTGAGGGCTTGGCAAGGGTTGCACGCACACAGTTGGCCAGGTTGGCCTTTGACATGAACTCATCCGGGCGGTGGCTCACTCCTGAGGGGAGCAGGGAGTCAATAACGGATTAGGAAGGTGTGAGGGCTTGGCAAGGGTTGCACGCACACAGTTGGCCAGGTTGGCCTTTGACATGAACTCATCCGGGCGGTGGCTCACTCCTGAGGGGAGCAGGGAGTCAATAACGGATTAGGAAGGTGTGAGGGCTTGGCAAGGGTTGCACGCACACAGTTGGCCAGGTTGGCCTTTGACATGAACTCATCCGGGCGGTGGCTCACTCCTGAGGGGAGCAGGGAGTCAATAACGGATTAGGAAGGTGTGAGGGCTTGGCAAGGGTTGCACGCACACAGTTGGCCAGGTTGGCCTTTGACATGAACTCATCCGGGCGGTGGCTCACTCCTGAGGGGAGCAGGGAGTCAAAAACGGATTAGGAAGGTGTGAGGGCTTGGCAAGGGTTGCACGCACACAGTTGGCCAGGTTGGCCTTTGACATGAACTCATCCGGGCGGTGGCTCACTCCTGAGGGGAGCAGGGAGTCAATAACGGATTAGGAAGGTGTGAGGGCTTGGCAAGGGTTGCACGCACACAGTTGGCCAGGTTGGCCTTTGACATGAACTCATCCGGGCGGTGGCTCACTCCTGAGGGGAGCAGGGAGTCAATAACGGATTAGGAAGGTGTGAGGGCTTGGCAAGGGTTGCACGCATACAGTTGGCCAGGTTGGCCTTTGACATGAACTCATCCGGGCGGTGGCTCACTCCTGAGGGGAGCAGGGAGTCAATAACGGATTAGGAAGGTGTGAGGGCTTGGCAAGGGTTGCACGCACACAGTTGGCCAGGTTGGCCTTTGACATGAACTCATCCGGGCGGTGGCTCACTCCTGAGGGGAGCAGGGAGTCAATAACGGATTAGGAAGGTGTGAGGGCTTGGCAAGGGTTGCACGCACACAGTTGGCCAGGTTGGCCTTTGACATGAACTCATCCGGGCGGTGGCTCACTCCTGAGGGGAGCAGGGAGGCAAGAGAACGAGTAGGAAGATCAAGGAAGGAAGCGAGGGCTTGGTGAGTGTAAGTGCGAGCACGCGCACACTGCTGATCAGGTTGAGCACCTGCCAAGGTACTCGACCTTGGATGTGAACTATTGGCAGGTGCTCACACCCAAGCTCGAGTACCTTGGTCAGGTTGAGCACCTGCCAATAGTACTCGAGCTTGGATGTGAACTCATCCGGGCGGTGGCTCACTCCTGCCTGAGGGGAGAAGAGAGACAAGGAACGCGTGAGGAGAAGACGAGAACCAAAAGAAAAAAAGGGTAACAGCAGTAGCAAAGTCAACTACAAATTCCCTAGCAATAATAAGAGTAACAGAAATGAAGATAACAATAACAACATCTTTGAGGCAACTGAGAAGTAGACTCTAAAGCTGGAATCCTCTCCTGAACAGCTATGAACCATGCACTCGTGCGGTGACGTATGCATCTGTGTGCGCGAGTGCGCACGAGTTCACACACATACATGCACCCGAACCCAGCACAATCACTACAGACAAGCTCACCTCCTCGGCAGGGAATGAAGACCATGCCTGTTGGCGCCACCCTGCAGTTGGGATGAACAGAAAGAGGGGATGGGGAGAAGGGAGGGAGAGTGGGGAATGAGCAGCTGAATCCCTCCGCTCATAAAGGCTAGCTCACCTCCTTGACAGGGAATGAAGATCATGCCTGTTGGCACAAACCCTATGGTTAGGATGGAGGGAACGGAGGAGGAGTGGGAGGGTGGTGGTGGGGGAAAGGAGGGAGGGAGGAGAGATTTGAGGATCAACAGGGGAGTCCCTCCCAATGCGCCTCTTCGACAGGGAATGAAGGCCATGCCTGTTGGGGCCACCATGTGGGTAGGATGGAGGGAAAGAGGAGAAGGGGAGAGGAAGGGGAGAAATGCGGATCAAGTCGGATGAGCACACATGCACGCCCAACTGAGTTCCTCGGCAGGGAATGAAGAGCATGCCTGTTGGCGCCACCCTGTGGGTACGATGGACGGAAAGAGGAGAAGGGGAGAGGAAGGGGAGAAATGCAGATCAAGTCGGATGAGCACACATGCACGCCCAACTGATCTCCTCGGCAGGGAATGAAGGCCATGCCTGTTGGCGCCACCCTGTGGTTAGGATGGATGGAATGAGAGGGAAGAGGTTGGGGGAGCGCTGAGGAACAGAAAGCATCTGGTGAAGGAGAGGGAGAGGGGGATAGGGACAGTACTGAACAGTGGCACATGAACAGTAACGCGTGGCACATGAACAGTAACGCACCTTGCTGTGAACAGTGCATCGTGATACGCCCGGCTGATAGCAAGGTATAACATTGTGCACATGAACAATAACCGCATTGTGCCATGAACAGTAACCCCACCTTGCCATAATCTCTGGCATACATCGCCATGAACAGTACCCACACCTCACCTCGCCACCATGAACAGTACCCACAGACCACCACGAACAGTGATTTGAGACATCTCAAAACAGTAACCCCACCTTGCCATGAACCATGCATCGTGATATGCCTAGCTGACAGAAACGGATCACACTGAATATGAACAGTAACCGCATCGTGTCATGAACAGAAACCCCTTCGTGCCATGAACAGTAAGCCCACCTCGCCATGAACAGTGCATCGTGATAGGCCCGGCTGACCATGCGTTGGTGGCTCAGCCCCAGCTCCTGCACTGCAGACAAAACAGCTGACGTCACCATGCTGCTGCACTGGGCGGGCGGGTCGGCATTGACCAACTCCATTCTGGTCGGCGGGGGAAAAAGGAGAGGGAAAGCGTAAGTCAGGAGAGAAAGAGGTGGACATGAGAAAAAGGGTTTGAGTAATTCTCTAGACCTCCCAGAAGAGAGGCAGACGAAAAGTAAAAAGTTAAAGTGAGGTGTGAGAAATGGGGATATGGGGGAACGAAAGGAAAAAAGGGAGACTAGGGAATACGAGGGGAGATGGGAAAAGAGGGAGGAGGCAGCTAGGGAGAGAGCAATGCAAAGAAGCCGACAGTGTTTCCCCCCACTCCCTGTTTACAGCGGAAATGGGACGAAGATTTTCTTATGTGGTTCTTCCTTTCAAACGGTCCTTTGTTTCTTGCGACTTCCGATCTGGCAACAGGGGTGTTTTTTAAGTCGAATAAACTCAAGACACATTGAAGAATTGCAGACATTCTCCTAGCTGCAACCCTCACTTCCCATATGGACTTTAGTCCACCCAAATTCAAGACTCATACAAGACTCGTAGCTGTAACCCCCACTTCCCAAATTGAAAAGGTCAACATGTGACGCCCTTTTGAGGAGCCTCAAAACTGGCCTCATTTCACGAAGAAGTCAACATGTGGCAGGCACCAGGGACCTTCTCTCACAACTTAACACTGCTCCTCTTACCTGCCATCCCCCCATCCCCACTCCCTTATTGCCATTTTTTTGTCCCTTCTGCTGCCACCTTCCCTACCCTCTCCTACCCCTCCTCTGCCTCTCCTCACCTCTCCACCTTCACTTACGGCCTGAAAGCAATGCTCCTGGCAGCATCCATGCCTTTTGAGACCACACCATCCCTCCCTCGCACCATAGAGTTTCTCCCATACAAACCAGCTACTCCCTTCCCTCACCTCTCCACCTTCACTTGTGGCCTGAAAGCAATGCTCCTGGCAGCATCCATGCCTTCTGTGACGACTTTCTCTCCCAGCGTCCATCCAAGAGGCATGGGAGAAAACATTTTGAGGCGCCTCAAAAATGCCTCTTGTGAAGACTTTCTGCCCCAAGAGGCATGGGAGAAAACAACTGCTCCCCCACTCCCTGTCCTCGCCTCTCCACCTTCACTTTCCGTCTGCTAGCAATGCTCCTGGCAGCCGCAATGACTCTTCACATGCTCACTCTTACTCATGCTCTCCCCCTTCCCCTGTCCTCGCCTCTCCATAACCCCTTTCCGCCTCGCAGAAATACTGCTGGCAGCAAAGCTCCTAGCAGCCTCCATGACACTTCACACTCTCACTCATGTTCTCCCCTTCCCCCCTCCTCACCTCTCCACCTTCACTTTCCGTCTGGCGGCAATTCTCCTTGCGGCATCCACGACCTTTGAAACCACGCCGTCTCGCCTCGCCTCGTCGATATCTCGAATATCTGCAGCAGAAGGAGCAGCAGCAGCAAGAGTTGGGGCACATGGGGGGCGAAAGGGGGGGAGATTGGAAGCGGTAACAGAGGATATTCTGACTGCCCACACCACGC